CTTAACTAATTTTTCTTTGTATATTTCCAAATTAGTTATCTAATTCTTATGTTGAAGACTAAAAGTGGTATATAAAATTTCAATTTCCTTGATTTAATTAAAAATTCAAACTAGTGATCCCGTTATTGATTGAACCTCTCTAACTTATGATTTGTGACTATCATATGGTTGTGTTGTTCTCAAATTAGAAATTTTTTTTTTTTTATTGAAGTAGAAAAATCTTTCTTTGCACTCTATCTTTTCCTTCGCTATATAGTCTAAAGTCCAAGAGTTGTTGAAGGAAACATAGAGTAAAAGCGAGAGAAGTCGTTGGTCATAAATGCAAAAATAATTGAAATTATGCGAATACGCAACTCAAAACTCAACTAACTTTAGAGGATACTAAATGCTTCTCACTTCTCTTCACGACTTTATGCGCTCTTCATATCTCTATTATTTTCGTCTATTCGTAGCCAACATAATCTGTTTTGCCTCTTTAGCCATTGATAAACAGGTGTAGAATCAGAGTCGAAGCAAAGTCAGAAGATTGGAGATGAGGTTGAAGCCGAGAGCTCCAGAAAAACAAACAGAAGATGAGACGGAAGAAAGAAAATAAGTAGGTATGATTTCATAATTTCAATTTAAGGCCTGGTCCTCCTGACAGTAATTTCTTTATTCAAGTATTTATTTCATAATTTCATCATTTTAAGGGTTTTTTTTACCATTTTCTTAAAAGAAAAAAAATTCAAAGAAAAGTTGGCCAGGGGGAGGGTAAATTTTAGCCAGCAAATTCCAAGTAAAGTGAGAATCACGAAAGTGAAATTTCCCTGTGCCGCGCTGCCCATTGTTGACTAGTAACGAAGAAGATGGTTGTTTTGGGTTTGAAAAAAGCAGAATCAGTGAATTGCTTATGAAACTTGCCCATATATCTCAGCCATCATCATATTGAACGCACATGCAATCTCATCCATGGCTACACTACTGATAGATCTGGATCCACTTGTTCGTGAACGCTGGTTGAGATTACCGCCTTCTTCTGAGACGCTGATTTTTAAACATTGCTTCATGATCTTTATTCTTTCTCAGGCATACCTATGTGTTTCTTTAGCGTCCAAGCTTGAAAGACTGGAGGCAACATATGAGCGGTTTCAGATGGTGAGAGTGCTTGCAGTAGCCTATATTTGGCGTTTGATGCAGTGTACACTATTGGGGCAAAACAAGGTCCCTCGCCTCTATTACCTACGCCGGGTTCTCCCATTCTATGACCTCCCCATGACTCTACTTATTGCTGCCTTTTACTGCGTCACTTCTGTAATTGCCAAATCCCTGACAGCTTACTTAGTTCCGGTTGCATATCTGCTTCTCTGGATCACTATGGTTGTGTACGAGGTGCGTCATCTCCTCCCTTCTCTTAACAAGCATTGCAGGGCCATGACAATCATATCCGTTAGCTGCTATTCACGCATACACTTGACTCCACAACAATGCATATGTTATACTTTACTAATAAACATGCTTTCATGAATTTGTTCTGAAATATCATGGTGGCTTCAATGATCATGCAGCTGCCGAAACTGAAACAATATAAAATGGTTCATCAACAGAATAATGATGCTGCTAATAATTCAGTTCCTTTTACCACCAACTATAGCCAATGGAAAACACTGTATCCTTTTGATATTCAAGTTACTGATCATTTCGCGGCCATCCTCCTGGCAGCGCTATGTGTTGATTTAGTTGTCCAGCTTGAAAGCCTGGTCGGAATATCAGCAGCAATGGGGTTGGGCCCGTTACTTAATGAAATAAATCCGCCCTCTATTAAGCGGTTGCATATGCGGAGGAAATCCAAGGGCTCTCCCGTCTATTGCTCGCGAAGAGTTGTCCTATGTTATAACCTCCCAATTATTGCAGCTATTACGGTCTTTTACAGCATCGTCCGTACATTCCCCAAAACCTTAGTCCTTGTACCATCTATGCAGTTAATTCATCTGGCCTCGATCCAATGCGAGACAGAAGATCCTACTGGGGCGGCAGAAGTTGGAGCTGTTTCTTCTTCAAACACTGACTTGGTTCATCAACAGAATTGTGATGCTCCTCATTCAGTCGCTTCTACCTCAAAATTCACATGTGATGACCCTATTGGGAGTAGCGGATTCGCATCTGTTTATGATGCCCGCAGCGGGTGTGTATACAATTCTTGGACTAAATTCATATTTTTCATCTTATTTTCCCAATTTCTAAGTCAATAATTAATGAACTATGTAGACACTTGTGTAGTCATAGAAAGCATGTACTGTGTTTTCCTCAGAAATTGGGTTCTGATCGTCTTCTCCAAATTCAGAGTAAAGCATCGGTTTTTTTTTTTTTTTAATTTGTAATTATCTCAGAGATGATCCAATCTCATTCGTGGCTGCACAACTGAGGGACTGGCCTCTTCGTGAACACGTGTTGAGATTATCAATGCCTTCTTTTGCGACGCTGGTTTCAAGTTTTGCTCCAGTTTTCCTGCTTCAAGGACCGAAGGGAACATACAAGTCCCTGGAACTGTGTCCCGAGCTCACAGGTTTTGCAGTGGTGCAACTTTCAAAACGTATGCACATAAGATGGGCGAAACACAAGAGACCTCACGGCTATTGCTCCGGAGAAGTTGAAGGACTTTATCGCATGACATTCACTGTAATTATTGTTTTGTCCATCGTCTTGCGTTTGCATTCCAAATCCTTGTTCGTTGCATACGGGCTGTCTTTGCATCTTCTGAATCTCATCGTTAACTCTCTCGACTTATATGTGTTCCCGAGAGAGGCAGTCCACGAAATCCAGGTGCGTCATTCCTTCTCTTCTCTTAACAAGCATCGTAGAGCCATGTCAATTGTATGCGTTAGCTGCCTATATATTTCTTAATTAACCAAAACATAAAATGCGTAAAGTGGAAAAACTCTGTTATTTCATCTCATTCCATCAGGACTGTGCATTGTATAGTATTTACAGAACTTCTCAGGGTACAGTAGCAGGACGCGCATTCTAATAACCGAATATTTTTGTCCTATATGGTTTTGCTGAGCTGTGCTTTGGTGAGCAGGAATTGTACTCTGGTTAATATATATTAATCCTTACACTTTGACTTCATTGAGCCGCACAATACTTATAGTTGATTCACAAACATACTTTACTGACGAACATGCATGCTTTGATGAACTTGTTCTGAAATATAATGGTTGCTTCAATGATCAAGCAGGGCGTGGAACCGGAACAAAATATCAGCCGTAACCAAGCCTCTTCTTTGAAAACTGTGTTGGTTGATCAACAGAATTATGATGTTGCTCATTCAATCTCTTCTACCACCAACTTTAGGCAGTGTGAAACAGTGGATCCTACCGGGGCTGCAAAAGTTGCATCTGTTTCTTCCAACATTGATGAGTTGGTTGATCAACGCAATTACGATTATCCTCAATCATTCTCTTCTCCCTTAAATTTCAGCCAAAGGCCTAAATGGGATCCTCCTCCTGGGGATGGAGGATTCGCATCCGTTCATGCTGCCTCTTCCAGGTATTTTGATCTTATTTTCTTATTCTCCTCATCTCTTAGTCAATAGTTAATGCATTACAGGGACACTTGTGTAGCCATCAATATGTTTTTCCTTCCATGCTTGACAGAGCCTTAAGTGCAGTAGAGGAAGATGATGATGATGATGTTAATTCAACCTCTGATGCCGCCAATTTTAGCAGATGGGAGAAGGGGGAAATTCTTGGGCATGGTGCATTTGGTACTGTTTGTGTTGCCTATAACAGGTATTTTTTTTTTTCCTGGACTGAGCCTATGACAGGTATGAGTAAACTGAAATTTTGATCTTATCGTCTTAATATTAATTTCTTGCTAAGAAATGTGTTGGAAGCCTTGCTAATAAGCCGTAAACACTTACTCAAAGCATATAAGCCATGTTGTGTTCTTCATTTCTGACAGGGAAATCAAAAAATTCTGTGCAGTTAAGGAACTTAAAGACATTTTCAAACTTGAACAGATAGAATCCATTAAAAAGGTACGTCTTATATACAGTATTAAAATTTCTCTGTCACACATATAATCCACCACAAGTGATGATTCTGTCATTGAAGAATCAGAAAGTCAAAGCCAGAGCCCTAATTTTTAGTGTGCGCAAATAGAATATAAGAAAGTAAGAATAAATTCTAGAGTAGAACTATAAATAAATTCTAGAGTAGAGTTATAAACTAAACACTCGTTGTAATTAAACTTGGTACTCTTCTCATCATTTTTACTCTTAAAAAACGTGATACATACTTAAAGGAATCAAATTAAATTCTCTTCCTATTACTTTTTCTATTAATTAATAAACATCATAATTCCAAAGAATCCGAATTATGCCATACATAGTTTCTAAATTCAACAGAACTGCAGTGATTATGATGTCGTTGCAAGTCAATAAATCCTTCATCTATTTTAAAAGGCTAAAGTATATATTCGGTCCGTAAACTTTATATAAGATTTCAAATTGATTTCTTAACTTTAAAAAAAGATACATTTGATCTTTTAATTCTAAAATTGTTAGACTTAAATGACGGTTTTTGTAACAATCATAGTTATTTTGAAAATTAAAATTATTATGTTGGCATATAAATATTTTATCAACATTTAATTTCTCAATATCATCGTTTTTTGTTAATAATTTTAGAGTCAAAGGATTAAATGTATACTTTTTAAAATTAAGAAACCAAATTAAAACCCTCTATAAAATTAAAGGATTAAATGTATACTTTAACAATTTTAAAAAGATGGAGAAAGAAAAATATTTGTCTATGATTGCAAATTGTATCAATCATGGCTAAACCATATTTGTGTTTTCAGGAAATCGAAATTCTCAGCCAACTGAAACATCCCAATATTGTGAAGTATTATGGCAATGAAATAGTAAGTACCCTCCTGATTTAAGCTGAGGATGAAGCTATACGCACAAATAATGACTTGGTTTCATGCATAATTAGGTTGGACACCACATTTATCTACACATGGAATACATCCCACCAGGTTCACTGAAGAAATATATATCGGAAAGGGGTGTTCTATGTGAATCTTTAATTCAAAATTTCACTGTACAAATTCTCTCTGGTTTGGTTTACCTGCATAGCAGAAGAGTTGTTCACAGGTATTTTTCAAATATGTATGAAACATTGCATGAGTTCTAGGCATTGCAACACACATATCTTGTAGGATAATTAATTTTTTTAACTCATGTTTCAAAATCACACTGAAAATAGGGTTGTCAAAATGACAAGTATATGTTGGGATTGTTGTCTTGAGTATTCATTTATTTCCCTGGGGACAAAAACGCTGACGCACATTTCTTCTAATGCAAACAGAGGAGAATTCGGGGAAGGTTCACAAAAAACATAGAGGAAGAGATAGGGAAAACAGAAGAGTGATGATGGGGAAAAGGATGGACAAAACTAAAGAGGGGGATTAGATAGAGAAATGAAGGGAGAGATAAGAACAGAAGGAGAGGAAATAAGAGGAACTTGAGGAGGATAGAGAATGGCTAAACTACAGCAAAATCTGTTTTCATTACCATCCAAGTCTATCCTAATACAGAAGGCGCACACATATTTATAGGTTGAGGTTTTCAATTCTCTTGAAGGAAACATCCGCTTGCTCTATCCTTTCCTTCCTATGAATTAATCACCCACTTGCCTTGCCATCATTACAAAAGAAACCTACTTGCAACCCAGTTACTAAATAAAGGAAAACCAGAAAGTAATAGCATACAAAAGTAAGACATATTTCCTTCTATAGGAGGTTTCTTCAAAATATGCATCATTCTTATATTCTCTAACCCTCTCTCATTCTTTCTTTATTGTCATGTATGATTATATAGGGACATAAAGCCAGACAATCTGCTTGTCGATTCTAACAACATAGTAAAGCTGGTTGACTTTGGTTTGGCTAAGCATGTAAGTTCTTGATTATCTTGTACAGCATGCATTCACATGACAAAATCGAGGCCATTGATTTTTGAACTCGAGACTTAATTTCTCAAGTGATTATTTAAGATGATGATTCATGTTTAGGATCGAGTACGTGTGTCCCATAGTATTGATATGATAGTCCCAAGAGTCAACAATAACTTAATTGGCTTTTCTGTATTGAATAGTTGGGAGAATCTGTGGGCAAGCACTCCCAGTTGGGAACTCCATATTATGCAAGCCCAGAGGTATATATTTATTTTTTTTCTTTTGGTAATAGAGGTATATATTTGCAAACTCTACCTTATGCGTCGCAAAGTATTTTTTAATTAAACCTGGTTCTCATACATACAGGTTCTTCAAAAATTAGAATATGAGAGCTCGCGTGAAGCTTCTGCTGCTGATATATGGAGTTTGGGTTGCGTAATCATTGAAATGTTCTCAGGGAAGCATCCTTGGCCTCGTTTGGAATGGGTAAACACTTTTACACTTCAGTATATGTAGAGCTAACATTGCATAGGTAATATGACTTCTTAATTTGCATATAAATATAAAAGAATTTTAAGTCTGTTATTTTCTGCTATAAGAATTTCTTTCAACAAGTGAAGCAACAAACATAACACATCTAATGCGTACTCAAAGAAATAGCTAATCTTTAGGTCTGGCGTTAAAGAAATAGTGCCTTGGTTAACTGCAAGGGCAAGTGAGAAATTATGGTGTACTTTTTGAACAAAACAATTGTGGAATTATATGAGACATTGTATCCCATATATGGAGCTTCCATTTATTAGTTAATTAAATATTTGACTAAAACCAATTCATTTACTAAGCAGCAACAGGCTTTCTATAGAGTTTGTCTTAAAGAGGAACATCCGGACATACCAAAAGAGTTATGCCAAGATGGCAAAGATTTTCTCCAACTCTGCTTCAGAAGAACTCCAGCCGAGCGGCCATCTGCTGTGGCATTACTAGACCATCCCTTTGTAAAAGCAAAAACAACTTAGAGTGCCGATGGAAGAAAGTACAATGATTAATGATGTACGTTGAGGGTATTGGGATTTTCATATGATAGATATTGCTAAGGTCTTAATTTATATAATAAGGGTCATCTTTGTTTTGTGCATAGGAGCTTTATTCGCAAAGAAAGATAAATGATATTGCGTGTTTAAAACTGTAAATATACTCCCTCGGATCTTAATATAAGACTTAATTGTTGAGTTGATATTGGTCCTAAATATAAGATCTATTTCTCATATTTATCAAATTTTTTCCAAATTATCCTTACGAATACTCTCTCAACCATAATCAAGTTAGTGAAGGAGGGAGGATATTAAGAAAGATGATTATAGTATTTTAGGAAAAACATATTTTTTATAATTAACTAACTTACCTAACTTTCTTAATCTAATCAAATTAGTTAAATGGGTTTTATGTTAAATATTGGAAGAGTAAAAGAGAGGAATCTAGATTTAAAAAAAAATATTGGGCAGTGAAAGTCTTTAAGTCGTAGATCAGAAAAGAAAATACTTACATCAAGGTCCTAATATTCATTAAGTCAAGTTCTCCAATAATACATTGCCATATGTCCTATTTTCTCATATGTGGTTTATAATTTAATAGTAATATTTTAAATACATAATCTATGTGATTGAAAAACTTGACATAATGGATATACAGAATTTGACCTAAGTATTGTCCGATCAGAAATTATTAATAGCTAAGTATTATAGTTTGCAACTTCAACTCTCATATTTACAACCTTTTGAATTACGAGTATTATTTATAACTTATTTTTTGACAAAATTTTTTAGACACCTAAACCTTTGGAGTTCTGCCACGTAATTGTCATCCTTCCAAAATATTAGTCACAAGGAACAGAGACAAAAGAAAGTGAGTCCAGATTGGGAGTCCAAAGAGTCGGCTATTGTGCACCTGGCAATTTTAAAAAGATCACAATTTTGGCATTATATTCGGTTATTATATGCTACCTCCAGTTCTTAATTTAATATAAGAGTTAGTTTGACTTTCAATTTGATTGTAAATATAAGACCCAAATCTACTTTGTCTTTCATGTTTACATATATTAAATTCCATCAAATAGTAGTTTTAGATAATACACATGATTAGTAAGGATATTTTAGAGAAGACAACATCTATTTAATACAAACAATTAACTTAATAAACTTTTTTAATCTAATCAAATTAGTTAATTAGCTTTTATATTAAGGACCGAAAGTAGTACTAAGAGCAACATACACACGCTCTTGACTCCTAATATTTTGAGGGCATACTAATATATATATTATTTTTATTTATGAATCTTTAAAAAGCTTCTCGTTTGAAAAATAATTTTTCATTATACCTCCTTCTTGTCTGCATAATGAATAAGGCCACAGTTCAGTAACATACTTCTTCGGTCCTTAATATAAGATCCATTTAACTAATTTGATTAGATTAAAGAAATTAGGTAAGTTAGTCAATTATAAGAAATATGACATATTCTTTCTAAAAACACTATAATCATCTTTCTTAATATCCCTCCTTCTTGTGATTCACTTACGGTGATCCATAGGTTGAGGTAAGTTTCAGGAATAAATTGATGATATGGGGTAATTTAGGAAAAATTGATAAATATGATAAATAGATCTTATATTTAGAACCAAAATTAACTTAACAATTGGGTCATATATTAAGAACAAGAGGAGTATATACTACTCTGCGTCCAAATTCTCTCCGTCTGGCTTGACGGATTAATGCAAAAATTTCCCAGTCAATTAATTGGCATTATTGGTGGTTCAATTAGATTTTCTATGCAGAAGAGTTCTATGTAATTCGATATAGTATGACATAAGATGACAATAAAATTAATTAAATAATCATCCTGGCAACAAAACAAATTAAATATATTAACTTATTTCCCGTCACCTTCCATTATATATACACACACATATTCAACTAATTTATTTACTTTCTTGTCTTTTAGGGTTGTGCATAGGACAGGATAGGACCTGGAAAAGTCTGTCCTGATTAGAGCCGGGAAAACGGGCCGAGCCCGTCAGGCCGGCCCTTTTAGGCCCTGAAATTATGAGGGCCGGGCTTGATATTTTTCTTTTAAAATGAAAAATAAGCCCTGGAGGGCTGGCCCTGGAGGGCCGAGGGCTTAAAAGGGCCGGCCCTGGAGGGCCGCGGGCCGGCCCTTTTAAACCCTTTATAATTTTTTTTATTTTTTAAATTTTTTTATATAATATTAATGTTATTAATTTTTTACATTGTTAATAATATTTCAAATATTTAGTTATTATTATCATTTTAAAATTAAATTTAGTTTTAGACAATAATTTATCCAATTAAATTTTTAAAAAATGGGTTAATTTGGACTTTAATAATGATTTGATTTATATTATATGTGTTGATATTTTTAAACTATATATATATATTTGATAATAGAATATTTTTATACTTATATAACTTGTGATTCTATAATTTGAATTAGAAATTCATGAGTTTCAACAACAATGTTTCTCACATTAAAGTAAAATAATAGTTAGATTGCAAAATTTAAAAATAAAATTCTTATAAAGAAGAAAAACTTGATATTTTTGTTACGAAAGAAAAGCATACTTATGAAGAAAAATAATTAATTATAGTGATGATGAAGTTTCAAAAGATTAATGATTGTTTATTTATTGCATAATTGCATTATAGATAAAACTTTTAGATGTTGTTATCTTGTTAATGAATGTTTTAGATGTTCTTAGATGTTGATGAATATTTATATATGATAATATTTTATATTTGTGACTTAATTTTATTCATATTTATGTCTTTTATTAATAATTTCATTGGTTTATTTTTATATTTTTATAAAAAATATGATAAATATAAAAAATAGTATTTTTTCTTAAACGGGCCAAAAGCCCGCGGGCCGGCCCTGGCCCTGTAGCTTAAGGGCCGGGCTTAGCAAATTGGAGTATTTTTAAAATTTCAGCCCTGGAGGGCCGGCCCTTTTAAGCCCGCCAGCCCTGAAGGGCCAGCCCTGGAGGGCCGGGCCGGCCCTGATTCCCGGCTCTAGTCCTGATCCCATCCCGGTGAATAGGGATGAGACAGGAAATCTGTATTGTGTCCTTGGGACCAGAACAAAACTGGGATGTTCCTTTTTTATAAAAATATTTTTTGCTTTATGGTTAGACCTATTGCAATAGATTTTGGTTATTTTTCTTCTTCTATATTTAGTTCTTTGGGCTGAGCACTTTTGAAAGTATCTTTTTTTTTTTTTTTTTTTTTTGAGCTTAAAAATAAATAATAATCAGTAATATAATAACTCCAAAATTCATTTTCACTATTTCAAAAATCATAAGCAACTATAAAAACTCTAAATAAATAATAACCATTCAACTACATACGTCTTGAAAGTTACAAATATAAACATTTTATATTACACATGCCTTAAACATTTTGCATTTTTAACATTTAATAATTATTATATGATAAGAAAATAAAAAATATTACTATTGGGACCCTCATCCCATGCACCGTCCTGGTCCCATTCTTTGTCCCATCCCAATATGGTCGGGACCGAGATAGGCTAAGCAGGATGGGCATATTTGAAACCCTTACTGTCTTTAACTCCATGAAGAGGTAAACAAATTAAAATTATTCACAAGCAGGTTGATCAAGTAAACTAAACAAGTTTTAAAACTGGATGTTAATGTATTCTACCTATTTAATGACCTGTCAATAATCCCAACCAAAGGGTAAATCAATTAGCAAAACTAGTTGCAAGATGATTGCCATGTGAGATGTATCGCTAGCTTATTATTTATAATAATAGTGATGGCACTGAACGTATTATGTAAGAAAACTTTTTAATTTTTCAAACGATAAAATAGCTTTTTGGCTTCATCAATAATTCCTTTTCGTTGTAGTTACTGGTCAAATAATATAACTTAAACGAAGACCGTTTAAACTTGTCAGGAACTTTAAACGTAAAAATAACGAAGTGTAGTATTACAGCAAGAGCCTTTAGTTTCTCCTTCTCCTCTCTTCTGAACTTTGTTCAAATTTGCCATGGTAGAAGCTCAAGAAGTGAAGCTTTCCAAAATAGGTATAGGTCAGTTAATACTGTCCATAAATTTGATCTCTCTTCCTCTTCAGAAATACAAATCACACAGCAAAAACTTGCTCCATATTCACACGTCTCCTTTCTTCTTTTTGGTCTGACACACGTTTCCTTATTCCTTTTTTTTTTTTTTTTTTCAAGTACCTGAAGGAGCAGTTGAAACAATTACTAATGTGGTTAATGGTAATCTGTGGAGACAATCAAGCAGTGTGATCAAAATGAAAAAGAAATATCAGCATTGGTTAAGAATAGGCTTGTTCGTTGTTCTTGTGCTGGTGGGCCAATCATGTGCGATACTTCTGGGAAGACTCTACTACCAAGAAGGTGGAAACAGAAAATGGACAGTAAAACTTGTCCAACTTGTGAGTTTCCCTATTCTCCCATTTTATGATATTCCTGCAGCCAAACGCCCCACTGAAGAAAAATACCATTCACAATAGTGATAAGCAACCTTCTGCTTTAACCTTCTTTTTTCTACATATTCTCTTATTTGCTCATCAAAATTAGCCTTCAATGCCTTCTTCTCCTCTTCCTCAACTCACAGAAATTCACACCTTACATCATAAACTTTGTTCCTGTTAACAATCTCCTCCATCCTCCTCGTTCTTCAAACTGATTCTTCTGTAGAATCCAACACTAAGTTTCGTCAGGAAAGAAGAAATATGTGATCGGGTTAATAAGCACAGTTGCTGCTGCAGCTGTGTAGGGATTGATGCCTTCTCTGACACAGCTTGCATTCAGTACAGTTGTAAAAAGCAAAAGCTTCAAGGGCATTTTCGACATGATAGTTTATCCGTCACTTGTGGCCTGTTTGGTAACAGTGATGGGGCTGTTTGGTAGTAGATAGTATAGAGGCTTGAAAAGAGAAACGGAGGAGCATGAGAT